TTTTCATCATGCATATATAGTCCTGTGTGTTGCTCCCTCCTAATTTGTTTATAGTCATTGAATCTGCTGGTCTGGTCAAGAGCCCGAGCCCAGCTTTTGCCCTTAATCATCCATCTGGTTGGCTACGGTGAGAACAGAATACTGGACGAGATGGTCCATCCAGCAGCCTCTTCCTGTGTGCTGGCTCTCCCTATATGCTAGGTTGGTAATTTGTTGTTGTTGTTTAGTTTTGTCCAGCTCTTTGTGACTCCATAGTGATGGTCTTTTGGGATGACAGGCATAGCTCTGCTGGTAGCTGGAGAAAAGCAATAACACTGGTTAACTGGTAAGCTAACAGCAGCAGAGGAAAACAGGTGAGAACTTAGTTGCACTATAGTTAAAACAGGATAGAAAAACTATCCAGTATCGTCTTGATTCCATCCAGTGCGTTCTTATTTCAGAGAGGCCATAGTTCAGTGGTGGAGCATCTATTTTGCATGTAGACGGCGTCAGGTTCAATTCTTCAGGTAGGGCTAGGAGAGGTTCCTGCCTAAAAACCTGGAGAGCTGCTGTCAATCAGTGTCAGAGATACTGCACTAGATGGACCAATGGTCCAACCTGGTCTAAGGCAGCTTCCTGTGTTCCTTCTCCTCTTTTGCCCTACAATTCCTACCAATGGCCAGGAATCCTACTGCCTTCTCCTTCACTGGCATCCCTCACTAAGGCAGCCTACAAGATCAAGATATTCACTTGGAAATCAATACATTGATTTTAAATCTAACCACTCTGACATTTGGATGAGATGAATTAACATGAGGCTTCGGGCTTTTCAATTAAACCAGAAAAAGAGACAGTGATTAAAATGAATGGATGTCACATGCATTCAAAAAGAAGAATGGTATGTGTGTGTTTTAAGACTGGTGAGTAATAGTAACATAAATGTGATATGATGGTTATTCATTATAGTTCATTAGGGCTCATTAAGTGGAAAGGTGTGGTATTTCAAAATACAGGATGTGATACTATCTGCTGTAGAGTTTGCAAAGGGCTTTCTGCAAAACTAGCCTTTGTAGAATTCCACTTGGGATCTTCTTCCAGGCTGATGCCAGTCCAAAAATATTTACTGTTTTCGCATTGCTTTTCTGCCGCTTGTGCATTCACCTTGTGGTAGCTCTTTTTAGCCCACATTTCTTTTGCTTAATTACAAAATTGTCATGCAGAACTGCCTGAAAAGCCTTGTGCACCGAAATATTTAATTATGAAATTCAAAGTAATTTATAAATTAATGTTATTTTGTTTACTTGCAAATTACTTTTTCTTTTCTTCAGCGAGTAAGTATTTGTGGCATCTTACTCTGTTGGTTCTCACATCATCATGCCATTTGAGCTCTGCATTATAGGAATGCAGGATGAAAAGCTGCACTATGGCTCCAGGGGCAGATTGGTTTGCAAGGGCACATGCATAGCAGGCATTTTCTCCCCCAGGATGAGGGACAAATAAGCTTCCAGTTCCAGGAACATTTGTGGTTGACAGCGGAGGCAGGGAGCAATTCATGCTTGCAACTGGCATTGACAATTGCTTGTTGGTGTCATGACCCTGAGTCAGATTCCTGTTTCTTTGGGGGATGAGGGTGGGGACTTGGAAGCAGCAGGGGAAGGGAAACAAGGGACAGCTCAGCTGCGCTTCCACCAGATGTGTCTGTAGTGCCAATGCCCCTCCAGTCTGAGGATGTAGCATTATTGTCCTCTAACTTGCAGGTGTCCCAGTGAGACCTGAGTCTCACACAGAAGGAAAGACTGATGGACTGGACTGGGATCCTTTACCCCTTTACCTGAGAAGGCACTTTCCTGAGAGGGTGGGGCTAGCAATAGGGCTGGAATTGCTGTTGCTGTATAGTGCTCAGTCTCAGGCTGATGGTTGTTGAAGCAACATCAGGGCTACCTCACAGCAGTCTGGTTCACAGGAGGCTGTCTCTTTATTCAAAGAAACCAAAACAGTGCAGGCCTAGCGATCACAGCAACTCTTTCTGGTAGGTCTTGCCCTGATGAGGTAGTTGTGAGGACTGAAGGCCCCCACCTTCCCACCACTTTCTAAGGCTCCTCTCCTGGTTCCTCCCCCAGCAGCCTAAGGCCCATCATCTTGTCTCTCATTGCTCTGACCTCTTCATTTCTCTGCATGTTCTGGGAGACCAGGGGGAGAGGAAGACTTCCTGGATTCTTCGGCAGCCTGGCTGATTTCTGTCTTCTGGCCTTCCTCCTCTTCAGCCTCTGAATCTGAGCCGCTCTCTGCCACAGTTTCTTCCTGCTCTCCAAACCTTGTTACCTCTTCAGCTTCCGACACTTCCTCCTCCCAGTTTACTCCCTCTTCTCCCCCTGACCACATATCGTCATCCCACCTTCTTCCCCCAGGGATTTTCTGGGGGGTTCCCCAGTTGTGCCTCCCACCTATGCATCCAGCCTGTCCACAAAAGAGGCATTAGTGAATTGGCCCTGTTTAGGGGATCCATGGCTATTCCATGCTCCATCTTATGAACTTATTTCAGTACTGCTTACAAGATCAAGTGCAATAGCAGTAGTGACTCCTGTGGTCTATCGAGAATGATTTTCATGCCTCAAGGTGCTCACACATTACTGGTGATAATGAATAGCACCAGTAGTGCTGAAACACCAACATAGTTTCATTATTACCAGTATTCCTCCCCCAATGTTCCCACTTAGGAAACTGATGATAATTACTCTGTGAATTTTGCCAAGTTTAAGAAGTGGGTGGGGATCAACAGTGTAGCTGTTCTCTTTCAACTGGGGCATGAAGCCTCTCCTTTTTATGCTTACTTACTTAAAAAAAAATTATTTGGTTCCATGGTCAAATAATAATGGCAGTTCTTTTTGGTGAAATTATAGGGTTCCACTCCATCTTGTATCTCTAAATGGATCTAAATGTGTTGATCAACTCTTATAAGCAGAACTCGGCTCTGAAATCAGCCATAAAACTTTTTTGATGTAATAGGGAAGGCTGGACTAAGAAAGTTCCTAGAAAAGAAGGCGGGGGAACAGTATAGTCCTAACTAGGGATGGGGTAGAAATTAGTTTCAGTTTGAATTTAAAAGTGAATCTATGTAATCTGCATTTTCTGAAACAATATGTGAACTGAAACACAGCTAACTGTACGTCTATGGATAGCTCTGTGGTAGAGGTACTACTGACAGTTCATGTGCTGGCATTCGACCCCAAAATGGAATACTTCTAGGGCAGAGGTGGGATGGAGACTGTCTTGGCTCTGTGGGATCCAAGGCCTTTTTTATCCATCCAAGAGGCCCCGATATCGGAGCCATCCTCAATACCAACTTGGAACTGTATAACTAATTCCAGTCCAACCTCACCTGCCAACTGGGAGGGAAATGAAAAAGAAAAGACTTGCAAAAATCCATCCCACACCTCCTGCTCTGGACAGCATGAGCCAGCAGGGCAAGTATTAGATCTGCAGCTTCACAATCTCCTCTACATCACTGCTTAGATTTCCTAAGCTATGCCTTTTCCTTCTTTTCCCATGTAATTAATGTTTGCATTTATACTGTCCCCCTCCATTTGTTGCTGCTTCAGCATGATTTGCTCTTTCCCCTTGCTGTGTGACCCTAGCCAGCCAGGGATCACATAGTGAACAAGATGACATCATTCCGCTATGTAGCCAATCAGAAAAGCACGATCCTCTTGCATGACTTGTTTGAAAACACCACTGAAATCAAACTCTCCCTACATATGGGCTGTTGGTGGTATTTTCCATTAGGAGTGGCATTATTTCATAGCATGCATTTGCATCAGTCCCCATCCCCTGTTGAAGGTTATAGGAAATTGAGCAAAAATGTTCACTGGAGGAATATGTTGTCAAAGCCAAATATTGATATTCCTTATTTTGTTATGCTGTGCTGCACCAATGGCAGTGATGCAGTAAATTTGCCCATTTGTACTGGCAACAAATATGCAGGCCCTTTCCTCCCTTGACTGCTGTGAGTGAGGGCAACTGAGTGGCTTCATATTATTGCACATATATTTGTCTACATCTGATTGGCTATGTGGCAGCATGACATCATGCTGAATACATGATCAATGATTGGCCGTAATCATGTCAGCAGTGAAAAAAGTGTTGCTGCTTTTTATATGGCTCCAGTTGCACAGAAGCATCAAGGTGACAGTGCTAATGTTGCACTGAATGTTTGCACATGTAAACAGTTGGTGCTGCCCTATGAAAATCTTCTGCCTTGTGCCAATCAAGTCAACACACATATAGGTGTATGCCTGGAGCATCTACCTTATAAGCAAGGTAGAAACTCACTCCTCCATCACACAGATTGATGCTTGGTCAGGTGACTGTGGACCAACAAATCAACCCAACCTTTGTACAATATGTCAGTTTGGGAGTTTTCTTCACCATTGTTGATATACTTTTATGGAATAAATGAAGACATTCACCCAATAGTTTGGCAGTATTACTAAGGATGCAATCCTATAGTCCAGGCATGTCCAACAGGTAGATCGTGATCTGCTGGTGGATCACTGGACATCTGTGGTAGATCACTGGAAGATCACTGGCTCCCCCCAAAGAAGCGCAACAACTTTGACCTGAACCCCCCCAAAAGGGGTAGATCACTGTCAGCTTTTAACTCTGTGAGTAGATCGCAGTCTCTGGAGTCTGAGTCTACCCTTAAGGCAGTGGTGGATGGCAAGGTGGGGTGGCAGTGCTCACCAGACTTCCCAGCAGCTGAGTTGCTGTTGTATTCTGGAAAGGAGAAGGAGATGCTGGAGGGAGGAGGGGGAGGCCTGGCAGAAGTGCAGGATTGGCTCTGCTGGTATGTTTGCACCACACCTCCCTCCCTGTTGCCTCCCCTCCCCTTCCACCTAGTAAGTAGAAGCGAATCAGCCGTGGGAAGGTCAGGTGAGTGCCGTCACCTCATCATGCTTTCTGCTCCTGCCCTGAGAACTATAGCATTCCAGGGAGGCCTCCTCATTGCAGCTGCAGAAATCCTTGCAAGATAGCCGAGTTGGTAAAGCATGGGGCTGTTAATCTCAGGGTTGTGGGTTCAAGCCCCATGATGGGCAAAAAGATTCCTGCATTGCAGGGGGTTGGACTAGATGACCCTCAAAGTTCCTTCTAACTCTACAATTCTCTGATTCTCTCTCTCTGTTCCTCATCCCCATCTGATGTTTGGAGGACAAAAATGAGGGGTTCCAGAGCTCGTGTTGGGGGAAGTTTTGGATTTATGTCTGTCTCTACCAGCATGCCTGAAAAGTACACCTGAGGTTGACATACAAAAAAAATATTTCCAGTGAAACCAATGGTAAAGGATTTTTTTTTAGAGAAGGAGGAGGAGCTGTAACCTTCTGCCCTCCCAGCATAAGCCTGGGACAGTTTTGGATTTGTCAGGCTCTCCACATTCAGTCCTCTCTTTCCCATCCCCTTTAGATTGCTCTGTAACACTAATAAATGAAATAATAAATGTTATGTATATTTATAAGCACCTCACCTGCTGGCGCATGGGGATTAAAAACAATAAAACAACACAGAGAGACCATTTGTCCATTTCCGATTACCTCTCTAGGCCTGCATCACATTTTCAGACTAACTATTAATATTGTAATTCAGGCTGCTTGGGAAGAAAAAAAATCCAGCATACAAAAAACCCCCCCAACAACCCCAAAAACCCATTTGTTTCTATATATTTGTGTCAAAATGACACCGTGTGAAAGAAACAACTAAATACTAATATTGATTTTTAAACATCCACTAGCAACAGTGTGATTGGATTCAAAGGAAACAATCCAGACTGTAATGAACGGGGGAAATTCTGTGGGACAAAAAGACCTTGAAAAATATGAAATCTACCGAGTATCTCTTTTTCCCACCCCCAACCCTCCCCCCTTGCAGTTTTATGATTTCTCCAAAAAATTCACCTTGACTCCGTTTAAGTGAAATCTACCAAATTGGAAAATGACAGCAAACATGTAAATAGACACAAACACTTCAAACGTCTAAAACCGCAGAAGTGTGGGTGGGTGCTTGTCTGAGAAGCTGGGATAATAATACAAAAAGGAGAAGAGGAAGAATGAAAAAAAGAAAGAAAGAAATGCCACTCTGTTACTAGTAGAACAACATATCAACAACTGTTAGAGCTGACTTGAAGGTTAAATATTAGGAAGGAATCCAATTTCTCTTGTCTATTCAGCTCAGCGGTGTGTTAGATTGCGGTTGGAGTGTGCTTATGGAGTGTGGGATATGAAGTAGCCTAATCAATCCCTACTGTTTCAGTCTCAGGTTCTTCTTATATCAGGTCCCTGCCCTGAGGCAGCCTTCAGCTTTCCAAAAGCCAATTCCATACAAATAAAAATTGCGACCTGCAGCTAGAGGGTGAAGCTGAGTTTTCCCCTCATGATTAATCTCTTCTTGGGTGGCTTTCAGAGGGGAAGGAGGAAGAAGAAGGGGGGGGGAGAGAGGATGGGGAGAGAGGGAAAGGGGGGGGGAGTATTCACGCCGCAACCTTGTGAAAGAGAGATTTCCTATTGAATGAGCCCAGTGCTCTAGAGCCAGCTTATCAAATGAAAGAATTCATTTAAGCACGCACACACACACACACAGTGCCTCATGTTGACATTGAGAAAATGAGCTATCAAACACTATGATTAAACTTCAGCTGCCATAATTGTCGTCCAAACAACTGCATGGTGGAACTGAAAAGCATTTTCTTTAACCAGCTCGGTATGGTTCACCAGTAATACTCAGTTTAAAAGGTTGTTGCTGCTAGCAAGAGAAACAAGGCTTGAAATTAACTTTTTCCAATCCATAGACAAAATTAAACATAGGTATTTGAGTCACACAAACAACGGCAAGAATCAGATGTGCTTTAAGCTTCCCTCCCCCCCCCCCTTTCATTTGTGTGGGTTCCGTTGCCCAAAGGTAGCTCCGGGTTATTAAAATATTCCAGCAGTTCCTGGTTTCGCTGCATTTGTCAAGAACTGTCCTGCTTCTCTCTCTGTGTGTGTACACACACACACACACACACACACACACACACACACAACCAGTATGCATTTCTCTCCTTTTTAAAAGATAGATTTGTCGAGGGATGGAAGCAGAAGAAATCAAATAGATAATGTGTAAGGATTTCCCCTGCATTTCTGAAGGGGTGGGGTGGACTCAAAGCAGAAGAGAACCCAAAACACAATTGCTGCCTCACGTGCAATTATATTGCAATGCCTTTATGATCTGCACACGGGTCTGCTCATTCAGACAAGCCCCTTCCAGAAGATAAAAGCATTTGATATTCATTCTACGCAACGTCATTCTGGAAGTGATCTCCAGAGACTGTGGGGTCATTGAAGAGGCACGAGGAAGTCCATCAGGAAATGCGGCCAAGAACATTGACAGCAATGAAAATGCAACCCCTGTCACTGGTGCCCTGAAGCCAAATGTTCATTTTGCGGGTTACAAAATGAATATGTGAACTGTCACAGAGTTATATCTCTGTGTCAGGTTGATTAAGGAACACAAGAACTGCAGGGCACAATGATCGAGAAAAATGATCTGGGAAAGGCAATAAGTGAGTAATAAAGTTTGTGTGTGCATGAATATAATCACTGAATATTCTCCCATCTCTTTCAAATATTGGTTTCAATCTGCTTTAATTTTTGGTAAACCGAAAACTTTGAGGCGCAAACCTCCGAGTGGAATTCTGCTTTCAGTTCTGCATCTAGGGCTTTGCAGTATTATGCCGGCAAAAGCAGGCCCGTGCGTTTCATTCCTGAGAATGGAAGGTTGACAACACAGATGCTTTGCAGCAAAAGGGGGCTAAAGATTGCCAGAATGTTCACATGCCATTTGTATGTGACTAAAACACAGTATTCAACTCAGTTTTGAAAATGGTACAAATGCACCAATTCCTTGGACTGCCGCCTATTTTATGAACAGATGTTTCGTAGCTTTAATAGTGGCAAGCACTGCAGCCAGAAATCAAGTCAATGGATGCAACTCCATTGAGTCATGGTGGGGGGGAATATTACCTGTTGACTTTTGCCTATTATGTGAGTGTTAGAAGTGCAGTTTGTGACCATAAAAAAGATGGCCTTCAATAAAGAAAGCCATTTCTGATCAAAGTTCTGTGAATATTGCATTTTCAAGATTTCCTGCATGCCTCAAACACACAGTGTGCATGATTGACCACAACAGGTATTTTAAAATGCTAGTGCAGCTTAAATTCCTATAGGTTAGAAGCTGCTATCAACCCAATTTTGTTGTTGTTTGGAGAAAAGCACACAGTTACTGATAGTTACACCAGAATACCACTAGGTGTCTGCTATCAGTAATCTTAATATACTGCCTTACTGTGAACATCATCATACCTTCCCTTTATCAGCTTATTTTTTATCAGACTTTCCATCAAATTAATATCTCATTATCTTCTAAAGCTAAGACTTTTCTCCCAGTTATTTTACCTCCTAGAGCAGGTGTTTTTGCTAAGTTGATTATGCTATCAGATAAATTTGCCATTCCTTGAACATATGGAAATAAAGATTTTGAATTAACAATCACATTTTCATCATTTTTAGTGTCTTGCCAAGCTTTTAGCTTCCCTTTACTTCCTAGGCAAGAATCAATGTTGTAATATATCATGATTGTTCTTGGGAGAAAAATAAAGCAAGAGGCAATGTAGCTAAATGGCTAGAGAAACTGGGCTGTGATGTTAACCATACTTACCTGAAAGTAAGTCCCATTGAATACAGTGGAACTCAATTCTGAGTACTTAGGGTTGCGCTATTGAGAGAGCTGCATGCAAATCCACCAGTATTTACTAAGAGACCTGGGACAAGTCATTTCCTTATCTGCAAAATGTGAAGAACAGTGTCTTGTGAGAATGAATATGACTCTTTATATAAAATGCACAATAGTAGTTAGCAATGCTAAGATGGCCATGTTCAGGGCACTCTACATCCTTGGGTGACAAACAACACCAAGGATAGGACAAGTAACTTCATAAGGGGTTGGGATCGACCTGCCAAATTCTGGAAGTTTACTTTTCTCTCCCTCCAACCTGTAGTGCACAGTATGGCTCTTCTGTGCAAAGAGGTGTTTCCACATAAGTGTTGTGATCTCTGGATAGTAACAGAGGAGTGGCTGTCCCTATGTAAATTAAGCATAGCAATATAACAACATGAGAAGAGCTCTGGTTGATGAGATCAAGGGACTATCTAGTCCAGCATTTTGTTCTCAAAGTGGCCAGTCAGATGCCAATGGGAAACCTTGAACAGAACTGGAGCACAAAGCTCCCTCTTCCACTTATGATACTCAGCATACCGTCCCCAATACTGGACATAATAAAGTTTTCAGGTATGGCGGGTCCTTAACTGAGAGATGTTGTTTGCAGATGGCCCAGCCTTGACAGCTCTACAGACTCATCAACAGTTTGGTCCAAGACTGCAGGACGTTTGGCCTTGCCAACAGTTGACTTCACCCCTCAAGGCACCCTTGTCCATTGTCTTCTGAGACAGATGGATGCCAACCAAGCTAATATTCTTTATTGGCAACATTTCTATCCTGTCTTCAATCCTAACAAAATAAAGGTTGCATGCATGGTTCTTCCACACACACACATTTTATCCTCACAACCCTGTGAGCTAGGGCAGGCTGTGCAATAGCAACTAGCCCAGGGTCACCCTTTGAGATTCATGGCCGGATGGGATTTGACTCTGGGTTTTGCCACCTAGTCTTTGTCTAACTCAAACCACTACATCACACTAGTGTCCTGATCTCTTTCTTTCACCATTTGTGAGAAATGAAAATCCAGTGCAAAAACAACGCAAACTCTCCAAGCAAATAAATGTCTTCCTATTTCTTGCCTCCATCATATTGTGAATCCCAGGTTTTAATTTAACAGTTTAATTCTAGGATTTCTTCTGCATGGTGAGCTGCACACAGTGGTTTATTATTGCTGGGTTGCTTGGGCACGCTGGGCTGCACTCAGAGCTTTGTTATTTTAGGATTGCTCAGGCATGCTGTGCTGTACTTAGCAATAGCTTATTTTAAGATTTTTCATGCATCTCAGCTAACT